GTTCCTAGGCTCTCTCCAGGCTCAGAATATGCATTTTCATATGCTCCCCAGGTAATCCATATTCCCTTCTTCTGTGTTTCACTGGAGGAACCTTGCAAAGTGATTTACTTTTGCAAAGCAACTCAGTAAACATCTGCTTGTGTCACTGAATCAAGTCCCACTCTTAGAACCTTTGCCCACAAAACACAGATACCAGACTAACTTACATTCCCATTTTTTAACGCATGTTTTCCAGTGCTCCTATCCCTCCAGTCCTCTCTTAGAAGAAAATGTCAGTGAACAGAGATTTAGTTCATTTCTGAAACCATAGAGACAGACACCTCATTTGTGTCAGCCTGCCTTTTACTCCCACTCTGACTGAATTCCCTTTAGTATTGACTCTACTCGTTTTTCCAAGTGTATGCTGACCATTTGGCTCTAAGGGCGTCTTTAGGGCCACTCTTTGCTGTTTGGCGGATGGAGGTGGCACTGAAAGGCCTGGAGGGAACAGGACGGATGACGGTCACCAGCACTTTGTTTTCCGTGGGCCGCTGCCTACTTAGTCCTCAACCACAGCAGAAAAAGAGCTTATTTATCACTTTGGATTTTCACTCTACTTGCTCTGTTTGCTAAGTAATCTGATCTACTCAAAAAGCAAATATTCTTTTTAAAAAGTTACATTGCTAACATGGAAAGAAACTGAAGTTTAATCTTTTTAATATAATTGTTTGTTAAACCATCTGTTGTCTCAGTAAAGATAAGAAGTACTCTCGAACCCAAACGTGCCAGTGGTGAGGGATACAATTTTCTTTTCAGACCATTCATGGCAGAAAACAATTCCTGCCGATTCTAGTGATGCCACTAGGGATTCAGCAAAACGATGTGGGAGATACCACACTGTCACCAGATGTGAAGTTAGAACTGAGACAACCTCTCTGCTGGCAGAACGCAGCATGCATGTATAATAAAGACCACCCAACAATACATAAGCATATTGAGAGTGATGAACAGTCACTTTGACAAGATAAGGAAAATGCCATTCTTATCACCTCGTTAGTAAAAAATCCAGAGCACTGCTTCCATGAGGGAAACTGAGTCTTCGTGAAAGACGGTGCAGCCATGGTTTTAAGAGCATGACTAAGTGATGCCAGAGCAACTTCCTAAAAGAGTCATCCAAAGAGACACCGGAGCAAGGGCACTAGCGGAAGCCGAGACTCGTGTGCTGCTCTGGTCTAGAACGGGTGAACGTTTGAGCTTTAAGGATGTAATTGTGGATCCAAGATAGCTGCACCTTCTTTACTACTCCTCCCTTTCAGAGATGGAGTCTAATTCTTCTACCCTGAATTCCGGCTGGCTTGAGTGACTTGACTGACCAAGAGAATGTGAAAGAAGTAATGTTCTGGAAATTCTGAGGCCAAGCAGAAGAAGTCTTTGCAGTTTCTAGCTAGATTTCTTAATACACTCACTCTGAGGGAAGTTGACCACGAGGTAAGAAGTTTGACTACACTGAGATCACGATGCAATCACGATGAGATTACGGTGAGAAACCCAAGCTAGCCAGAGAGGGAGAGGGGAGAGGCCAGCCCCAGCTGCTCCAGCCGCACTAGACCAGGTGCCAGTCCTATGAATGAGATTCACGCTGGACCTTGCAGCCTCAGTAGATGCAATGCAGGAAAGAACCAAGGAATCCAGAGGACAGCCAGAACTGAGGCCACAGGCACATGGCTTTAGTTCAGCTGTCCCAGCCATGTCTGGGTCACATGTATGCAGGAGTCCAAATGCAACTCTGCAAAACCGTTTTGACACCTCTGCTTTCTTCATATCCACTTACTCTATTGGCCAAGTAGGCTACATGGTCAAGCTCAGAGTCAAAGGGTGGGTACACTCCCATCCAAGTGAGAGGAAGAAGAGAAGAAAGACTTCCTGAACAACACTCCAACCCAGTGAGAGCTTCAAGCACCAGATAACAGTGGTGAAGACAGTGAGTAGTGTTAGACTGGGCTACATTAAGGCGGTTCTGTGATTCAGTACTTACACATACAGAACCCAGAGAACACATACTGAGTGTGTGGGTGAAGGTGTGTAAGTACAGGGATCAATACTTTTTTGTGCAAACACCCACAAACAGAAGGCATGTAAAAATTATGGAAAAGCAAAACAAACATAGTAGAAGAGCAAAAGGAGAGGAATTTATAAAAAGAAAGGAGAAAATGAAACCTCTACCACTGGTTGGGAGGCCAGGAGCAAACACCTGTTTCCTGGTTTGTCTCACATGTGGGCAGAGCTGCTACAAGGCAGTCAGTCCCTGAAGGAAGCCCCAAGAGACCAGCTCCTCCTTACGATGAGGTTGTGCTTGTTCTACAACAGATACATTCAGCATGGCATGCAGCAACCTCAAACACTGCTCTCCCACTCCACCTTTGTGTCCAATGACAGTGCCTGTAATGCAGAGAGTGTCCTGCTCCCGGTTGAGAGCTATTAACACAGCTCTGGGGTGCACAGAAAGGCACAAAAGGCTGTGGGCAGCAAGCAGAGTTGGAGCAAAGGGAATTAAGAAAGACCTCGGGAGAGTTTCTAAACTGGGATTGGATGCAGAGGCAAGATGTGGAAGTAGCATCAGTCCCATTCTCGTTGTATATTATAGAGGTCACAAGGCTGGAGAGTGAGCTGAGGTCAAACTGTGGTGGGTCTTGGATACCAGGGTGAAAAGCATATTCTTAATTCACTGGGAGCCACCGGAAGCTTTTGAACAATAAGTAGCATGAAGGAGTTGTCTTCCAGCATTATTCTTTCCTGATTCTTTAGTAACAAAACTTCAATTTTTAAAAATTTTCTTATTGTATTTTTTCCATTACATTTAGCCACCTTACTCCCCCCTCCAGCACCCCCCAACAAAACCCCTCAATTTTTAACTGGGTATAGCTTGTGCAAAATAAAGATTACATTTCCTAATGTGTCTTGCAGCTAGGAGTGGTCATGTGACTAAATTTTGGTTAATGAAATAGCAAGGAAACCGTGTATACAACTTTTAGGAAGTGTTCTTAAAGGAAGAGAGAATTGTTCCTTTTTTTTTTTCACTGTTTGATGGAAGCAGAATCTAATCCTAACATGTAAATTATTTATTAGAAAGATTGGTCTGAGGCAAGCAAAGTATAAGATGGTTGAAACAAGAGGAGCACTGGAGATGGGAAGACTAGGAGAACAATTCCATAGCCAAGATAAGAAGTGAGGAAATAAAAACTGAGCCAAGGATGGTAGCAGTGGAAATGCATGGGAGGAGTAGATGGGAAAAGAGTGTCTGTGGGGTTTGGTAATTGATAAGATGAGAAGAGACACTAGTGAAGGAAGATTCAAGGTCACTTTGAGATTTTAAGCAGAAGTGACTGAAGGTCAATGATGTTGGTAACAGAAGCAGAGAACTCACGGAAAACAAGCAGGCTCGAAGAAGGCCACCACGAGGTCAGTTTTTGACGGCTGAGTTGGGATGCCCATGGAATGTCCAGGTGGAGATGTAAAGCAGGCAATTGGAAGTTCATCTCTGGAGCATGATTTGAGAGTCCTTGCACAAAAACAATAGTCAAACAGAGGAAGTTGTTGGTTGGCAAAATAGTACATCTTTAGAATGTCCCCTTCTGTGCACAGAGACAAATAAACTGCATTCTTCAAAACCAGATAAAAATATGTACAGCTCTTCACATGACATGTCCACCCTGCCCCCAAAATAACCCCTATGAGCTCCAGCCAATGACTGGCTGTCTGACTTCAAGTGAGGGAAAGCCTCACTATCTCAAAATTTGGACAGCTCCTTAAAGTTCCTTAAGAAGGCATTTTGATTTGCACAGATCTCTGTCATGACATGTTTTTAAGTGACTCCTTTACAGCCAGACATCTATAGAGAAATTACCTTCCTCTTTAATTCAGGTTAACCACATGTAAGAAGACTTCCCTCTCACAAATGTCTTGAAGGGACAATTCTTTTCAAAAACAGAATGAGAAAATACACAAATCTAATAAATGTGACAGAGTAAAACGATTCCACAGAGCTTTCTCCTATATCTGCTGAGACCAGAGCAAATGTTAAATAAAAGCTGAAATAAAAAGGGTATGAATTCAACATGAACAGTAAGGAACCGTCCTCACAGGATGGCTAAAGAGCAGTCCACACTGTATCCTCGAGACGGCCGGGGGATGGAAGAGGTTAAAATCCAGTGATTTGTGTAATTCACCTGAGGTCGTGTGGTAGAAAGGCACTTGGAAAAGGGGTGAGAGCTGTTTCTACTAGAAGAGTTTTGCATCTTTACTGCAGACAGCTGCAGGGGAACTCAACCCACCCTTTGGAGTGCGCAGTGGCGAGGCCAGGCCCTGGGTTTGGTGGCACCGCGGGCCCGGGTTCTATTTAGAGGTGTCAGAGCGATTAATGAGCATCCGATAAAGCTTTTCTGACTCATACATTCATCCATCCCACGATCAATCCATCCACCCTTTGTCTCTGACCCAGGGCCTGCGCTGGGCACCCCGACGTGCTACAGAGCATGCAACCCCACAGGACTTTCTGGGAGGAGGGGATTTTATGCAGGAGGACACGGCGGGAAGACTACCACCACGCTATGGCCCCTTCGCAAAAGAAATCAGTACATTCTCTGGCCGACCCCGGGCGGGGCGGGGCGGTGCCAAAGCACCAAGCCTGGAGGAAACCCTTCCCCTCCGCCAATCGAGACGAGGAACGCAGCCGAGTTCCACATTCTTCACGCCCCCGGCCGGCGGAGAGGCCGTGGCAGGTGCCCAGGAGCCGGAGCCGTCCCTCACACCGCGCCTCCCAGCGGTAGCCCTAAGCCTCTGTCCCTGGGAGTTGGAGGCGGGAACGGGCGCAAGGATTGGCCGGCTCCACCTGCACCCCCCCCCCCGACTCGGGCAGCGCCCCAAAACCGGCCTCTTTCCCACAGTGACAAGGGCCGAGAATAGGGGTTTAGGGAGCCAGCGCGGGCCGCGGCTCCTGGGCGCTGATTGGCCAGAGCCGCTGGGGGCGGGGCGAAGGATGTGGAGAGATTGAGCGCAGACGGAGCCCGCCTTTGCGGCAGCCTGCTCACAGGAGGCCCCGGCGTTGCATCATCTTCAGCCGGCGGCTGCTATAGGAAAGCTAGTCGTGCCGCGCGATCCGCTTAGTCTGAAGCTTCAGCCCGCTCTCCAGCGCCCAGACTGGGAGTCTCCCGAGGGCCTGCTCCAAGAAAACGTCCGGCACGGCTAGTGGACCTCGCCAGCACCGCCTGAGCCATTCATTGAGAGCCCAGCCTTATATTAGATCCCAAGTCCCTCATCTCCTGAAGCTCCGAGTTGCGGGCAGCGCCATGGAGAAGAGCAGCGAGACAAACGGCTACCTAGACAGCGCCCAGGCTGGGCCTGCAGCCGGGCCCGGAGCGCCCGGGACCGCTGCAGGACGCGCGCGGCGCTGCACCGGCTTCCTGAGGCACCACGCGCTCGTGCTGCTCACCGTGTCCGGCGTGGTGGCAGGCGCGGGCCTGGGCGCGGCGCTGCGCTGGGTCGGGCTTAACAGCACCCAGGTCACCTACCTGGCCTTCCCCGGCGAGATGCTGCTACGCATGCTGCGCATGATTATCCTGCCGCTGGTGGTCTGCAGTCTGGTGTCGGGCGCAGCCTCTCTGGACGCCAGCTCTCTCGGGCGCCTGGGCGGCATCGCCATCGCCTACTTCGGCCTCACCACGCTAAGCGCCTCGGCGCTCGCGGTCGTTTTGGCGTTCATCATCAAGCCTGGGTCTGGCGCTGAGAATCTTCAGTCCGGAAACCTTGGGCTGAAGGACTCGGGCCCCTCTCCGGTCCCTAAAGAGACAGTGGATTCTTTCCTCGACCTGGCCAGGTAACGATCCCCCAAAGCAATGTAGATGCCAGCTCTCCAATACACTCCCGTTTATTCCTAAACACACACCTTCATATCTTAGTATATTCTAATGAGCCACTGGTGGCCTTTAACATTTTTAAAATATCAAAGTAACGTCTGGAGCCTTTGCATGCTGACCACACTTTTTCAAACATCAGTCTTGGCGAACCAGACAATCTAAAGGATCAGGGTCGCATCATTTAGCAAAAGCCAATCCTTATGTTGGTGCAGTAGGGCAGAGGCAGTGGCCTTACCTGTACTTGACTCCTTACACCCTGGCTGTGTTCTAACCAGTCCTGGATATCTTCATCCCATTTTCTTCCCCACAGTGCCTGAAAGCTTCTGTGAGCACTTGTTAAATTTTGCCTGTTAGGCCATCCTAGCCTGTATCATGTAGCCCTCTCTGTTTCAGCCCATTGGCTGAGAGGTACCGGGCAGTTTTTTTGATGAGTCGTCAGAGAACCGAAGGATAACAAGGCTTGGTTTAGTTGTGTGGGCCCATTACCCAGGCAAGCCTCTCATGAGGGTTTGGGACAGGTTGCCCTCCGCCCCACAGTCAGGACCACTGTAGGGTATTGTGAGTTTCAAGAGGCTTATTTGTGGGAAGGTGAGAGAGTTCTAGAGGAGAGGGAAAGAGAAGCAACTTCACTTAGCTTTGCCTGCTTTCTCTGACCCTTACAAGTTGGCTTTCATTCCTTCAGACGTAGTGTAGTTTCTGTGGATTGCCCAGATCAGCCTCTCCTGCTTTGTCCATTAGCCCAGAGTTCACAAATGGAAAATTGCGGGCTGGAGGCATTTACTGACCTGGCCAAGTGCAGTTGAGTGGGAAGCTCAGCTGGCTCCCACTCCAGGTTTCCAATTGGGAGCCTTGGAGGGGTGTGTTTTGTCTCGAGTCACTGAGGCAGAGGCAGAGCTCCTCATTGCTAAGGCTGTGAAAACCAGCAAACCCTGGGCAAAGTGACTTGACTTCCTGCTGTCTCCATCTCTCCCTCTGGAAAGTGTGACGACTGTCTGCTGCTTAAGAGAAAGAGTGTTCATTTGAAACTACAGCAACAACAACCACAAAAGTTGAAGGCATTGAAAAATAAAAATCTCTGATGAGGCAGACCAGAAAGTTTTTACCAAAACTTCCTATTCAAAAGGCAGGTAGAGGTGGCCAATTAGGACTTCAATGACATGATCATCTTTGTTTAGTGTCTGGCAGCTTGATATTTGGAGTCTTTAGAGATCCTTAAAGTTTGAGAACTCACTTAGGTGGGTGTTGAAAATGGTCTAATGATGTTGGGAGTGCCTTTGGCTCTTCAGTATATCTGTCAGCTGTCCCGGGAGAGGAGGCAGTTATGAGGGTTAAAAAATTCTTGTTTGCAGGGATCAGTGGCCCAGAGAGGGGGTGTGGATACACAGCTCTGACCTGCTGGTTGTACCCCCATAGAGAGGCTCAGTAGCATTGTCCTCTCCAAGAGAGGGGCAGTGGCCAAATAACGGGGTGATGGTTACCTTATTACCACTAACCCCAGAAGAGATCTCTTATTTCCTGATCATGGCTGTCTAGATTTAGATCCAAGCCCCTTTAGCTCCTGCTTCTGAAGTGAATGGTGACCCAGCATCATGACTTAGTAGTCAATGTAGGTGCAGGCTTTTCAGTGACTCGGGCTACAGATACAAGGAAGAACTAAAAGAACCTTTGTCATGGCTTGTTGGGGATAGGTAGTGTTTCATAATGCTTCCAACAGCCAACCACATTTAATCCCACAGCTCACGGATGAAGGTAGTGTATACGATCTTCTTTTACCGACTAAGGAAATTGAGTCATAAAGGGATTAATGATTTGTACTAAGTCACAGAGTAGTTTATCAAAAGAGGGATTAGTAGAACTAGGGGTCTCTGCACCCCACAGTTCAGGGCTGTCTTTCTCCCACTCTCCTGTCCCCCAAGTCAACTTGCCATACTAATAACATCAGCTGCTAGTCTGGTTTCACTGTCTCAGAAATGTTTGCTCTCACCCAAAAGAGGAACTAGATAAAGGTTTCATTGGGTCAAGACAGATGCCCACTTCCTCTAAAAGAAGGAGATGACCCCCTTTGATGAAGGACAGAATGTGCAGCTGCTCAGACTTGGCCTTCATGTTGAGCAGCTTGTGCGAGGGAGCAGTTCTGAGCCACGTGGAAATATTTCCTGGGTCTGGGGATGCTCTGGGTGACAATTTTCAAATTGCTTACATCAAAGAAACCTCACAGATGCTGATATTTTTTGTGACTCTGGGCATGTTTCTTGGCAAGGCAGGGCACAGCCCTGATTCCTGCCCACAACTTAAACACCTGGAAGGAGTGGGAAAAGTCTCTTATGACTAAGTGCAGTGCAGGCTTTGCTAAAGTCCATGACCTTTCCTACTCGTGGAGTGGCTCCAAATCCCACAGGTTCTCTCTGCCACAATTTCTAATTTGTTTTTTTCAAATGAAGAAATGAAACCAGTAGATACTCAGTATACCTTTTAGAAAATTCAGAATGTTATTGTCAAGTGATTTGATTTCCTACCACACAATAGATGAGAAATAACAAAGTAGCTGGGGAGTGGGTATGAGGTGTTGGCACTGGGAGCCGGCCCTTTGAGAGCTGAGAAGTGACAGTGGATAGCAACTGTCAGGTGGCAGGGTCACAGACAGTCTCCTCCGCAGCAGCCTGAAGCTTTTATGCCTGAGGACCCGGAACAACACAGGACTCTCAGAACTGGGTGCGACCCAAGTGATCGAGTCCTGACTTTTCATCCAAAATGAAATCGTTTGGGCACCAAAGAGACAGAAACAGCTTATCAGGAATCTAGTCATTGTGGACATTGTTAGTCCCTAACAATGCTTACTAATGATGGGTCCTAGGGCGTGCCCGTAACTTTCTGTGCTCTGGCTTCCTCGTCTTCGTAGTGGGGATCATGATCATACCTACCTCACAGCATTGTTTTGGGGTTAAATGAGCTTTGTCTGTAAAGCTCTTAGAACAGGACGTGCTAACCCAATATATGTTTGCTCTTGTATGTAAATGGAGCAATATTACAGAGCTAACGGGGTTTTCCCCACTCACAGGTAATGGGGATGTCCTACTTTTATAGTTTGAAATACATGAGAGTAAATGGGGAATCAAAGGATGCCGGGGGAACTGAAGTCCTACAGCTGACATAGTCTGTAGGTATATTGGGAACCACGTGGAGGAGCCTGGAGAAAAAGAAATGAACAGTGACTGACTGTTTTGAAGTAACGGGATCAACGCTATGGGAAATTTGGAAATGCAGAAAAGTCAAAACTAAACACTGAAAAGCCTTGCATTCTGATTTGGGGCAGACGTCCTCATATGTTCTCTGCGGGTTCTTTTCTCCCTGCATTACCTGTTTCTGGTCTCCAAAGTTGACCTCAGCCGTAAATGGACAGGACTGAGGCAGCTGGCTTCTAAACATTTACCAGGATGCCAAAATTTGTCATCTTCCAATGAAAAACCAGAGACTTACCTGCAAAGGAGGCAGGAAGGGACATCTCCTGGGCTAAGGCTCTGCGCTGGCAGCCAAAGAAAGGCCTGGGCCATGGACTTTTGCAGAAGTCTATCAGGCTGCTGCCACTTGCCCAGCCAACACGACTGAGGTTTTGCCTATTGCCCGATTTTTAAAGTTATGTTTTCTCTTGTGCTAATTTTATCAATAGTGGAGTGTGCAATGAGCCTTTCCCTTCACCAAGGGAGGCCTGAGAGACTTACTTTCCTTCCCAAGCTGCAAAGAACCCATTTCTTCGGTAGGTACAAAGAAACCTATTGGAGACTGAGATCCAACATTAGCCCCTAGATCACAGTCAAGAGAGTGACTAGTGAATAATTTCTCTTAGCTGTTGGCCATGGCAGGTTGTTTGGTCTATGCCAATGTATCTCTCTCTATTCTATTGGCAAGATGAAGACTCTTTGCAAACCAACAAGGACCCAAATTAACGGAGGTTTCTCAGCCAAACTCCTCACTAAAATGGTAGCTTATAATTTTTTTAAAAAGGTTTTAACTTGGCACCATTCCTTCTACTACCCACAAGACTGCCTGAATAGTTCAGGCACTGAAAAGAACATACACCCAGAGAGGCAGCGTGGGTAGTGATTAAGAGGAGACACTGACATCAATTACCTTGTTTTGAATCCAGCTCTACCCTTTACTAGCTGTATGGACCAGTCATTTAGCTTCTTGATGCTTCGGTTTCATTTTCTGTAAAATGAAGCTACAAATAGTACCTACTACCTAGACTTGTCGTGAGGAATAAATGAGTTAATATTTGAGTGCCTCGCTAATGTTCTGGTGTGTCCTGGCCTCTCAGGCTACTGCATACATAGAATGAGTGCTGTTCTCAGCCTTATTTCCTAAAAGGTCCCCCACCGCAGGGGCCCAGCAATTGCCTTTCAAGCTGGAATCTAAAGCTGGATGTGGGCCTTAAGAAGAGGGTCGATTACGCCCCTGCCCCCTGCTGTCACAGTAGCGTGACCCCAGCCCTGCCTCAGCTCCCAGCCTCCAGGGGGCACCAAGATCAGAAGGAGCGCACCCCTGTTAGCCGACTCTGACAATAAACACAAGGAAGAACAAATATCAGATGTATGTGGTGTGAGCCACATCCTGTTCTGAAGAGTCTTTGAAATATTCATAAATTTAGTAAAGAATTTTTTAACTTAAAGGAAATACTCTGGAACAAAAATATATACCTAAGCAAAAGCAAATTGTTTTACATTCTTCTCACATAGAACAGGGAAATGCTACCACCCTTCACAATAGAATGAGAATAATAAATAGTAGCAGATGTAGAAAGAAGGAACCTTAAGAAGTTTCTCATCCTGTGAGCTGCGTGAGTCTGTATAGTACCGCTAACTAAAGCTCTGTGGTTTTTGTTTTATTGTTTTTGAGAGAGGGAAGGGGAGGGAGAAATAGAGGACACATTGATGTGTGAGTGAAACATCAACTGGTTGCTTCT